ATACTAAATTATATAAACAGCAGGTCTTTAAAATTAACAATGAAGAAACTACCTGCCCCTCCCTGCCCCCTCTTTTCCTCAGGAAAAAGCTAACATATTTCAATGAGGAACAAACGGTTTTTAAAATTTTACTTCTGTTGTATAGCAAAGTGATTATACATTCTGGAAAAAAAAAATGATAGCAAGGGACTACTCTTGATTATGGCAAATATCTAATTCAAATACTCTATGCCATTTAACTTATTCCAAAATATAAAACAATGCCTTAGGAACACTTTGGCTAACACTATTCTTCTATTGTTTTTGTGTAGGTAGGTCAAGTTGCTTAAGAGCTCATGCCAAATAATGTAACTGATTTAGAGCAGCCACTGATACTAGATCTAGTTCATGAGCACTGATTGCCATTGGAAGACTGCATTTGATACCTGACTAGTAAAATTAACTCTCATCTCTCATGATAACCCTTTGTTCCTGAAACTTTCTCTACTTGCTTCAAAAATGTTTGAAGATTTTATTTGGGATCTCTGTAGACAACTCTCTTGAATGGAAAAGGTTTTCTATATTGCTGAACATGTATGTTTCTAGAATGGGCAGGCACAAACTAGAAACCATAGAAGCCATCCATAGGAGAATAAGAATGCCTATTCCATCTTCTTAGAATTCAGCTTTAAGGCAAACAAGTAGACAATATATGAAGTTATTTGCACTCTTTGTTGAAAGTCATGATACAAATATGATCATAGGAAAGGACATTTTAGGGGACCAAAATTGGTGAGTTGCACACATTTATAAGGAAGCAACAGTAATTTAGAGCAATTTAAATGATCAATAAGGAGCTGCTGTCGGGATAGGATGGGACATTGCAGTCTGGCAAGTCTCTGTTGGTGAAGTGACAGGGAACTCCCAGGAGCTGAGGACGCTCTCAGGCTAAACTGGAGCAAGGGCAAGGATACAGGGGGCTTCCTAGCAACCTGGGAGCCTCCGCTTACCTTGATCTACAAAGACCCCGTTTCCTGTGAAAGCACAGTTACCCACCATGGCCTCTGGTTCTGGAGGAATCTGCGCCATGATGCAAACTGTTGTGATGGCAGAAAACCCAAAGGACATTGAGAGTCAGAACCTTTGGGTTCCACGCTCACCTTTTCCACTTGCTGGTTCTCTATGACATGCAGCAAAAATCTTAATGCCCTTAACTTTGATTTTTCTCAACTCTAAGCAGGAGAAATAATGTCATTTTCCTTACATACCTCTAATAGTGTGATAAGGAGGGGTCGAGGGAGAAGATGGAGGTGAGGACACCTTGTGAGATGTCTTTATAAACATAGGTGCCATTCTGCGCTTTGGCGTGTGCCTGTGGGAGTGTCTGAAGGCCAGGGAGTCCTGTGAAAAGAAAACTGAGTTGAGAAGGGGAATCACTTAGGGGGACTTTTGCTTTATCTCTATTGTTGGAATAGAATAAGGTAATGAGCATGTATTAATAGATTACTTGTAATATTTTAAAAACTGAAAAGTATAGAAATGGGCTATGGTATTTTTTTGAAGGAATATTTTAGAAATTCCTTCAAAAAATACCATATTCCAATAGAAATTCCAATATTCCAATAGAAATTTAATATAGAAGAAGTAACAATTTGTTTTCCCTTTGAATATAGGTCCATGACACTTCATTGTTTGGAAATTTAAAAAGCATTGAAAACAAAGAACTTTTTACATAAGATTTCAGAAAACTTATTTGATGGTAAAACATAACCTGAAATAATGTTAGGTTAGTTCTTATTTATTCCTTTACTATACTTTTTGTAACTGTACACAGTGGTAACATGCTACATAATACAATACAAGAATTATTTTAACATTTGAAAATCTGAAAAATTCTGATATAACGTGAACCCAGATAAGGAATAGTGTACCTGAATATGCTTATTAATAAATAAGATGGGGAAGGAGGACAATGGTGGAAAGAAGGAGAAGGGACTAGACAAAGAACATGTATGAATGACCCGTGGACATGGACAACAGAGTGGGAATTGACTGTGGGAGCAGAGGGTGGGATGGGTGGAGGAGGGCAAAGGGGAAAAAATTGAGACAACTGTAATAGAATAAACATGATTTAAAAATAAAAATAAAAAATAATTTTATTAAAAAAATAAAACCAATTTAAAAAGATGATAAAAATTAATAAATAAAGCAGAGGGGGAAATTGAGATAACTGTAATAGAATAAACATGATTTTAAAATAAAATTTAAAATAATAAATAAAGCAAATAGTCTTATGGATCTTTATAGAGATTTACTTAGTATAAACCCAGGTGCCTCGGACCCAGTAAGTTTTTTTGAGGGCATAATTCAATACAACATATGTTTAATTAATTAGTACTTTGAGGGGAATATCAAGATTAAAAAAGGTGATGGCGGCCCCTAAGGAATCGGCATTACAGCTCAGAGTGCATTTTCACGTAAATCTGATACAATTACGTTGCAATCAGTGCTGTGGCAGGACCACAGCCAGAGAGCAGAGATGGGTGAGAGCCAGGACCCCCCCTGGGGTGTGAAGTCTAGACCATTGGGGGAGGGTGAGAGAGAAGACTGTCTAAAGTCCTAATATTTTAGTTCCTTTTTCATCCTAAGTAATCAATAATACCTTGTGTTGTTAACACCCTTTCTGCGAGACCTAAGAGGCTCTGCGGAATCAGCATTCCCAAAACGTTCTCCAGGGCTGTGAGATACAATGAGATGTGAACACTGGGAAATGGAAACCCAGCAGTCATTTAGAATTATGAGACTCATTGCCAAGTCTCCCTCACCAGAGGTGGCGCTGTTGCAGAGGGGCCATCTTGCCCAGATCTGGGGTTCAGAAATTACATTTGTCCGTGAAAGGGTAATGTTAAAGTCTCCCTTCTGTGGTGGTTGACACTGAAACACATTGATTCTAAAGCCCCCAGAAAAGCAATGGATAGTGAAAAAAGAAACTGATTATTAAAACATGACTAAAACATAATTAAAACCAGTTTTACCACTAACTCCTAAAAGTGCTAGATAGGCTAAATCAAGCCCTAAGAGTGAGTAAATGAAAGACAAAGGGATCCCCGCCCCCAACCCAAAGCTTCATTTGTGTCAGCGGTGCCTCATGGTTTTGGTGCTGTTTGTTCCTCTGAAACTGCCCCCTTTTCTTTTAGTTCCACTTTTAGAATTACCAGCATAGGGTTCCATAATATGGACGTAATAGCATATCTAGAATGGCTGCGACGCTACAGCTGCAGGCAGAAGCAGCTCCAGGTCCTGTAATGAAGGTGTGTCCTTTCATGGGAGAAAACCTGAGCATAGAAAAATGTCCAGCATTCCCTCACACACAAGAGCAGCCATGGAACTAGCAGGGGGAAACACTCTCTTTTTCATCTGTGACAACTTCAGCATCTCTGTGGCATGTGTGAGCTCTGGCGGCCTGAGCGAAAAGCCCCAATGGTGAGGATCACAGCAGGGAAAGGTGCACAGAGACTCAGGGCACCCATGCAGTCGTTTAAACCTCAGCCTCCAGAGACCCAAGCTGGGAAAGATCTAATGGGAAAGGGCTCTAAAATGGACATAATTCCACGCAGAGGGAGCTGTTGCTCACGGCTCTGGGGAAAGCTAATGGCTTGTTGTCATAGTCATAATTTCATTATAGTGGCAGTTGCCAAACCTAAAAAGAAAATGGAGAAGAGAATAATTTTTATGGAAATATTTCTTCTCAAACACACAAAACCTGTCAACTTACTTGGCATTTTATTCTTCCTAGCATATGCCATCTTCTGGGCTGTCAAAGTTATAAGATTTGTGGGTGGCAAGATGATGTCATCTGTAGTCAGCAGCTTGTATTAATTTCCACTCCCAGCCCTGCTCAAGAGTTGAGATTATTGCAGTAAATGGGATCTGAGCTTACAAATGAAAGCCTCACTTTTCTTTTCCATTGAGATCACAATACTCTGCTCTTTAGCAGGATGACAATTGTGCTGTCACCAACATTACCTCACGCTATCTCCCTTGAAATGGCATCGTCTAAGCGTGTAAGCCCAGCTGTGAAAACAAAACATAAAACATATTTTGCTGGGAGCTTTGTAAATCCTCAAGGCATATGTTAATTAGTTTGCATTTTTAAAGTACAGTCATATCACCAATGTAATGTAAGAGGTGTGGCTGCAAGGAGTGAGTCATGAGCAAGATTCAGGAGCTCAGAAGGCACAGAGATCAGGCCTGGGTGCAGTGCCGGGTCCGCCAGTAGGGCTCCTGTCATGGGCCTTGCTCGAGTGTGGAAGCATGCATTCCACGGAAACATGTGGGAAACACACTCCTGAACAGCCCAGTGAGACACCACCACCTATCCACCATGCTATTCACCCCTAGACCACAAGAAGGAGAGACACTTACGTCACCGGATGATAAACCAAAAGGTGGACCAGGCGACTATTTCATATTCTGGAAACACCATACAGCTATCAAGATTTGGAGGGTTCAGTACCTTTTTCAACTAGTGATCCCAAATCTGGAGAAGCATCAACAAATTGAACAAATATGCAATGACTGGATACTGTCAGCCAGGACTGCAAAGTGAAAACGGTTTCTAGTGTTGAAAATAAACATCAGCTGACAAGACGTTACGTTCATGGATGGGAGAGGATTAGAAGTGACTGGATGTGGATTGAAATGTGAAGCAAAGGAATGTTCACTTCCTTTATTCCAGAAGTGGCAAAAACTGTCTAACTCAGAGAAAATGCCTACCTTGTGGTTGCCAGCAATGACTTCAGCCGTGCTTTCTGTAAGACGCGCCCCTCCTGAGACACACCTACACAGTCACAGATGGCACGGTTGTGAACAGCGTGAGGGTGCAGGGTGTCCCCACTCACAGATACCTGGGACTGTGGCTGGAGCTCTCTTGGTAACTTTTTCTCTTGATCATTAGTTTTGTCATCTTTCGATGTGTTGAAAACTGCAGAGAGGAAAATAAGAAAAGGAAGTTCACCATAATGGCAGAGCAGGGTGCCTCCTTCAATGACCTGTGTAAGAGCCGGCAGAGCCCTCTAGTCAGTGGTCATCGTTCCCGGGGCGCACGCCTCCTTCCACAATAGAAGGGTATTCTGGGGCCCAGTCCCACCAAGTGAGGAAACCTTGGATGATGTTTTACATAGCTGGAGTTACTGTAACAAAATACCTCAAGCAGGGGGATTAAATAACAAAAATTTATATTCTGACAGTTTTGAGGCTGGAAGTTCAAGATGAAGGTGTTGGCAGGTTTTTTCCTTCTGAGGCCTCTCTCCTGGGCTTGCAGATGGCCGTCTCTTCCCACGTCTTCACGTGGTCATCCCTCTGTGTGTGTCTGTGTTCTCTGCTAATAAGGGTACCAACCCTGCTGGATTAGGGCCCACCAAATGACCTCATTTTAACTTAATTACCTCTTCAAACTTCTTATTAACTTAAATAGTTACATTCTGAGGTACTGGGGTTAGGACTTCAACATGAATTTGTAGGGGAGACACAATTCAGCTCATGCCTAACAGGTAGCACTCTCAGAGCCTGCACCTCCCTCCAGCTAACCTCAAGCATGTTTTACTGGCCTGACTGGACAGCGTTGCAGTGGTGCAGTGAGGAGGGACCACTGGAGAACCTCAAAGCTGGGACCATTTGGATTTGGTGTTATCGCTCTAGTGTAAAGTTCTAGCAATACCTTTTTTCTTTTTCATTTAAAAATCAGCTCTTGGTGGTTTCTTCCAGGTTAGAGAGAAGTCTAGCAGAGGACAGAGCTGACGTCTGATAAGGACATGTACCTCGACAACAGCTCCATTGAAGACGCTTCAGGAGTGTATCCTATTGATGACAATGACTATGCTTCTGCATCGGGCTCAGGAGCCAATGAGGATGTGGAGAGTCCTGAGCTGACGACATCTCGGCCACTTACGAAGATCCTATTCACTAGTACTGCTCCAAAAGTAGAAACCACCATGCTGAAGATGCAGAACAAGCTACCTGCTCAGACAAAGTCACCTGAAGAAAATAAGGACAAAGATCACCACTCTGACTCAGAAAGAAAAATGGACCCAGCTGAAGAGGTTACAAATGTATATACTGAGAAGCCCCCAGACAGTCTGTTTAAAAGGACGGAAGTCCTGGCAGCTGTCATTGCTGGTGGAGTGATAGGCTTTCTCTTTGCCATTTTCCTTATCCTGCTGCTGGTGTACCGCATGAGAAAGAAGGATGAAGGAAGTTATGACCTTGGAGAGCACAAACCACCCAGTGTTGCTTATCAGAAAGCACCTACTGAGGAGCTTTATGCGTGAAACTCCTACTTAGTGTCTCTATTTATGAGATCACTGAACTTTTAAAAACAAAGTTTTTGCATAGAATAATGATCTTCGTTTTTTGTTTTTTCATTAAAGAGCCATTCTGGCACTTTAATGATAAAATCCCATTGTATTTAAAAGCTTTTCACGTATTTCTTTAGAACATAAAATTAAAACTTAACATCTGCAATGTTCTGTGAATAGCAGTGGCAAAATATTATGTTATGAAATTTCTCAATATTCATGGAATCAGTTTAAACTTTCATGCGCAAATATGAAACGATTGTTTTTTATTCAATGGTTCAGAGATGAAAGCTGTTTAATTTGTGTCAGCATGTCTCCAACTGACCTAACCAGGTTGGTCTTAGTTTGTTAATTTTTCTGTTTTCCTGTCTCCTCTACTCTCCCCTCGTGTCCCTTGGAAAAGAAAACAAAACTCTATGCCTTTTGTAACTGTTACGGTGTAATTTGTCTTTGGATAATTCAGATAACAGTAATTTAGTGTATATGTGATTTTCAAATATGTAAACTTTAACTTCCACTTTGTATAAAAAGAGGAAAATAAAAAAATAAAAATCAGCTCTTATTGTCTTGTACAAGGGACAAAGTTAAGATCTGCTGTGGAAACGTTGTTCTAGGAAAAGAGTGGATTTTTTTCCTTTACCACTTCCAAAAGAAGTTTCCAGGGTATAAGGCATTTCTTAAAATCCATATGAAGTCCTCAGTATTGTGTCTGTTTTGCAGACAAAACACTTTACCAGCAAATCTTTGACAGAGACAGTCCCATAACTCAGAAATTCCAGACTCTTCAAGCCTCAGTGACATAGATGTAAGCAGTTCCCACTGCCGACCCACACTGCCTGACTGCACATAACTAAACAACACACCTAAGGATGCGCTGGTTTTCTTCATTTGATAGGAGAGTGAGGATGTCACTGTGTGTGTATTGGGACTTGGCTGGGACAACAAGAATAACACCCCTCTGTTTATGAAAAATGCAGAGAGATTTTTAATGGAGCAGAAAATTTAGTTACATCACTGGGGTTTGCCCATCATTAAATGCATTTGGTTTATTTTATATTATGTCTGACCCACATGTGTGTGAGGCTGTAGATTCTTCCATGTTTAGTAAAACACTGAGCAAGAAGGCACAACTGACTAAATACTAGATGTTGAAGACCTATTTTTTAAAGTTGGTCAAAGGTACATGCCTTCACTGTTTTTCCTTTGTTTGTAAGCATAAAGACTCAAGACCTAATTCCTGAAGATGGTGGCAGAATAGATGGAAGCTACCTTCACCTCCTCCTAGGGCCAAACTGGCATTACAACTAAGTTATAGAACAATCAACTTGAATGGCCAGTTGAAGAGTAGCTGAAGGGAAGTCTCATGACCAAGGATTTACAGAAGAAGTCACATCAAAACTGGTAAGAAGGTCAGTGTTATATAAAGAGCTAACCCTACTCCCACGAGAGGTGGCTGAGGTTCCAGAGGGATATCTCAACTGTGGGGGAATCCCCCTGAGAAATCCCATGCCAAGATCCCTAGCCCAGAACATCGGAGCCAGCAAGAGGTACCCATATAACATTTGGACATGAAAAGCAGTGGGGTTTCTGTCCATCAGGGAGAGATTTGAGTCTGCCAAAGACACAAGCACCCTCTTAAAGAGCCAATGCACAAATCTCATTCACTGCCACTCACCCTGGGCTCCAGAGGAGGGAAGGAAGAGTAGACTAGAGTTGCATGAGGACAGTCTGGGGGTTGTGTTTCTGGAGAGATAGCTTAAGGGTCACCATCAGGATCCCTGTGCTGAGTTTCTTTCATACCATAGAGGCCATATTCCTTGAGTGGAGCACTATCCTCTGTGTGACACCAGTCTTGGGGGAAGAAATAGCCCCAAACTCTAGACTCCCTCTCACCCCATTCTATGGTGCTTCTGTCCTATTGAGTCAGCTACATGGCCAGGGTATAGAGGTCTGGGCAGATTCAGGGGGTGTCAAAGACTGAGTTGTGTGGCTTTGGAGTAGAGGCCATTCCCCACATTTTCACATAGACCTGACTGGCACTCTACCTTATGGAAGATCCACTAGAACCATCCTTTGAGCTTCTAGTGGACCAACACTTGGGGCTCTGGCAGCTCCACCCACCAGACTCCTAGTGGCTCTGCCCAGCCAGGGTTGGGGCAAATTTCAAGGCAAACTAAGCTGTGTGACTCTGGGGTGAGAACCACACTCTCACCTTACCAGAAGCCTGAGCAGCACCTCCCCTTCACAGGAGACCCACTGGCCCCATCCTTTCAAGTCCTGGCAGCCTTGCCCTGCTGAACTCTGTCTCCTCTAGCCAAAATCTGGGACACACTGAGTTGTGTGGCTCTAGGACAAGGGCCATTATTTCCTCAGACACCCAACTGGAGAAGTGCCCTCCCTTCACATGGCCAAATCGTGGTCTGTTTGGGCTTGATAAGCTCTGATGGCCTCACCCAGATGACCCCCTAAGGCCCCCACCCAACTCAAATGCATGCAAGCACCCAGTGGGTGGAAGTTGGACTTGGTAAACCCAGGAACATTTTCTGAGTATCTTCAGACTCAGCACTGGTGCCAAGTTTGATCCTGTATCAATCAGGTGAACATAACTCACCCCTACCTGGTGATTCCCTGAGAAATACTTCATGGAACTTGAGTACTGCCAGAGACTCTTTCAGTGACTGAGCATATCTGGCAGCCAGGAAGTGGAGGCAGGAAAATGCAGACCTTGGGATGCCTTGGGACTTTTGCTGACCTGTCTCCAAGCCCAGAGCTGGTAAAAGCCACTTTTGGTATACAGCTTCATCCTTACATGCACCCAGGCCCAGTAGAGGCAGCCACAAATTGTGAGTCACTTGTAGCTCCAAACCAAGTTGCCCAGGGCCAGTCTCAGGCAGCACCTGACAACAGCCTACACCAGAGTCCCTTCTAAGAGGTCCAGAAACAATACACCGAGTCGCCATCTTCAGACATCAGAAGAGGATCCAATAAGCTTTACAAGCAGCATATCCACAGGAAGATCTTGGCAAGCACCAGATCCTGCTGAAGTGAGTTCTGCTTTGTGATGGTCAGAATCTGCAAAGTAGCTCGCATGCCATGGTTGGTGTTAGCCCCACAATCAGCCATTCTGGAGGTCAGTTGCACTCACAAATGGGCCAATAGCAAGCAAGGCCCTATTACAACAGGAGGCCTCCCATAACCCACACAAGGGACATTCCTGGAGCACCCAAATAAGGTGATCAAAGAGATTGCACCACTGGGCCCCACAGGAAACCTACTATATAAGGCCACCCCACCAAGACTGGGAGTCATAGGAGATCTATCTAACACATAAAAACAAACACAAAAAGGAGCAAAAATGGGGTGGCAAAGAAATGGGCCTCAAATGAAACAAGAGAAAACTTCTGAAAAGAGCTAAATGAAGTACAAGCAAGCAATTCATCAGATATAGAGTTTAAAAATGGTTATAATGATGCTCAACAGCATAAAAAAAAGACATAGAAAGGATAAAAAGGGACCAGTCACAAATTAAGAATACAGTATGAGAAATGAAGAATACACTGGAAGAAATACACAGTAGTTTGGATGAAGCAGAGGACTGAATCAGCAATTTGGAAGACATGGTAGGATAAAACACACGATCAGAGCAGCAAAATCAAAAAAGAATTTTTAAAAAAATGAGGATAGTTTAAGGGACCTTTGAGACAATGTGAAGCATAACAACATCTGCATCATAAGGGTACCAGAATGAGAAAAGAGAAGGAAAAGGATAGAGAACCCATTTGAAGAAATAATGACCAAAATATTTCCAAACCTGGTGAAGAAAAAATGCGCACAAGTCCAAGAAATACAGTCACAAGCAAGATTAACAAAGAGGACCGAAACCAAGACACATCATAAATAAAATGGCAAAGCTGCTTAAAGACAAAAAGAAAATCTTAAAAGCAGCAAGAGAAAGACAGTTACCTACAAGGGAGCTTCCATTAGACTGTCAGTTAATTTCTCAACAGAAAGATTTCAGGGAAGACAGGACTGGCATGAAATATTCAAAGAGATGAAAAGTAAGGACCTACAATGAAGACTACTTTATCCAGAAAGACTATCGTTTAAAATTTAAGGAGAAATAAAGAGCTTCCCAGACCAGAACAACCTCAGGAATTTGTTACCAACAAACCAGTATTACAAGAAATATTAAATGGCATTCTTGAAGGAGGAGGAGGGGGGGGAGGAGGAATAGGAGAGGGAGCGAGGAAGAGGGAAGGAGGAGAAGGAGGAGGGAGAAGAGGAGGGGGGTAGAAAAGAAAAACAAAGGAACATAGATAAAAGAATGAAATAGCAACCTAGCAATAATCACTTTAAATGTAAATGGCTTAAGTGCTCCAATCAAAAGACCTAAGTTAGCTGAATGGGTAAGAAAACTAGATCTATATATATATACTGTCTATAAAAGACCCACATCAGAATTAAAGATACATACAGAATAAAAGTAAAGGGATAGAAAAAATATTTCATGCAAATGGAAAGAAAGAAAAGCTTGGGTAGCAATATGTATATCTGACAAAATAAACAAAAGCTATAGTAAGAGGCAAAGAAGGACACTACATAATGATAACAGGCACAATGCAACAAAATATATAACCCTTGTAAACATTTATGCACCCAACATAGGAGCACCTAAATATGTAAAGCAAATCTTGATGGACATAAAGTGAGAGAATGACAGTAATAAAATCATAGTAGGGGATTTTAACACTCTATTGACATTAATAGACAGATCTTCCAGACATAAAATCAACAAGGAAATGGCAGCCTTAAATGATACACTATATCAGATGGGCTGAATCTATATATTCAGAGCATTTCAACCCAGAACCCCAGAATATACATTCTTTTCAAGAGCACATGTCTTTTTCTAGGACAGATCACATCTTCGGACACAATTCAAGTTTCAATAAATTTAAGAAGATTGAAATCAT